GTTTGGTTAAGAACTTATTTCTGTAACTGTGATGAGCTGGTTCTTTCTTTTGTCGAAGTTTATGATGGTAGAGGAACTCTTGAAGAAGGAGAAACAGCTGAAGCTAGATTCATCAAGATTCAAGCTGCTTATGAGTTGCTCATAGATGATGAGAAACGGAGGCAGTATGATGTCGATAACCGGGTGAATCCGATGAAGGTTTGATTTCATTTATGAGATTAAGTGAATCTCATTTTTGTAGAGAAACAAATTCTCTTCTTACAAATAGGTTGTTCTGCTGATTATCAGGCATCCCAAGCATGGATGGAGTGGCTTATCAAAAAGCGCAAAGCTTTTGATCAACGGGGCGACATGGCAATAGTAGCTTGGGCTGAGCAACAGCAGCGTGAGATGAATCTACGAGCTCGACGCCTTTCTCGATCAAAGGTGAACGAACCTTTGATGCTAAGAAACGTCTTTCGTTATGGTTGTTCTTATGTTTGAACACCTTGTTTCTGAAGTGGAGGGTATTGCAGGTTGATCCAGACGAAGAGAAAAGACTACTGGCAAAAGAAAAGAGGGCGTCCATAGATTACTTTAACAGCACACTGAAACGACACACACTCGTCTTGAAGAAGAGAGATTTAATGCGAAAAAAAGCAGAGGAGGAAAAGAAAAGGTTAATAAGCCAACTTTTAGCCGAGGAGGGACTCGAGCTCGATACAGACGATGATGACAACGTGTAGTTAATACATTGAATTGATTGGCCTCAAAGAAAGTGCTGCAAATATCATTAGAAGAAACAGGAAGAGGAACAGAGAAAAGGTTCGGTTCGGTTCTGTATAGAAATCCATGTAAAACACCTTTAGTATGTATTTATTGTACAGAAGCATTGTATATACTATTTAGTTCAGTCTAAAAGAAAGAAAAATGATTCTTGCACTTCGAAAAAATGATTCAAGGTACAACGATTTTGCGTGAGAAGTGCTCGTAAGCACGATACAATACATCTCAAAAGCAATTCCGAGCATACCTATAATCTTGGAATAGGCACTTGGGATTCACTTATTTTCGATAAGCACACACCTTCTCACTATGCCTAATCGTGACATGGACTTAGACTTGCATCTTGCACATAATCTTGTAATATGACAACCTGGTTGCAATGAGCCAGGTAGCAAAGTTATGCAATCCCAAAGCCCACCACCTATAGATGAGTACTCGAGAGGGTATATCAGGGTAAGAATGCATAGTACCAGCTTGATCAACCCGATGTCGTGGGGATGATCGGCTGCGAGGTATATATGAAAGCCTTCTTTGTAACGAGAACAGATAGGACGTTAACGCCAGGTGATTGTTTTAAACATCGTTCCAATTTGCAAGAAAATTCCCCTTGAACCGTGGTGGCGGTTCAGATGCAGTGCCTCATCATCTAAAGTCTCATCTATTGAAACCAAAGTTTGATTGCCACAAACGCAGGTAAGATGTCTCACGAGTATGCATTATGTTCCATGAAGCAGAACTCCTCCATCAAACTCGTTTGAACTTAAGACATTTGCGAGATCATCACACGATTCGACAAGTTGACTCTTGATGATATAGGAATGTAGCTGTCTTCTCATTATCAAATCTGTCATAGCCAAGGCAGGGAAAAGTATCGAAAAGGTGTCTGAACTTGGTTTTATGCCTTCTACTAGCATTTGACAGAAGAGTTCAACCGCCATTTTCGGCTGCATAACTCTCCTAAAACCTGCAATCAAGGCATTCCAACAAACTTCATTCCTGTTCTTTATTCCCTCAAATACTCGAATCACCATCGCACTTCGAGTACATGTCAATGAGAGCACTCGAAACAACGTGGTCGTCTTCAAAACCGTTCCTCAACATATATCCATGGATTTCTTTCCCTTTGTGCAATAAATTCAAGCTAGCACAAGCAGCCAGAGCTGCAGTTATAGTGACGATATTCGGTCTGATTGGCGAAGTAATCACCTTATCAACAAGGCAAGCAGTGTAAAGCATGGTCTGGAATAACTCAAGAGCTTCATAACTTAACCCAGATAGTTGAAATCCAGATACTAGAACATTCAAAGATACAACATTAGGTGCCAAGTCTTTCTGCAACATCTCAGTTAGCAAGTTATATGCTTCAACTTTCTGCCCGTTTTTTGCATATCCAGCCAGCAGTGTGTTGTAGGTTACAACATCAGGTCTTAGTCCATGATGCTGCATTGATCTAAAACGTTCTAATGCCTGGCTAGTTCTTCCCTGATTCACATAAGTTGCAATAATTTCATTCCACAATGTAATGTTTTTCTTCTCTGCTTTAGCAAAAATTTCTTCAGCATAATCGTCTTGCCCGCATTTCGAATACATATTGACTAACGATCCTTCGACGTAGATGTTCGTACACAGCTCGCACTTAAGAGCATATGCATGAACAGCCCTGCCTAAACCCAGATATCTCAATCCTGCACAAGCTGGTAGAACACTAGCAACAGTAACAGAATTTGGATTCTCAGGAAACAACAGCATGTTAATGAATACATACAGAGCATCTTTGAAAAATCCATTTAGAACACAGCCTGATATGACTCCATTCCATGAATTAACCCTTGGGCTCAGTCCTTGTTCTTGCATAGCTTCCAAGTATTTGAGAGCAGTGCCAATCTTTCCATGTCGAGCAAACCCAGAGACCAATGCATTCCATGATATCAAATCAGGCTTCAACCCGCTAGACTGCATGGAGTGAAATGCTTCCATCGCCTCATCCAAAAGACCTTCTTCCATGTAAGCAGACACAAGCGCAGTCCATGACACCACATCTTTTTCACTCATTGAATCAAAAACATTAATCTCAAATCTCAAATCCCCACAATTACCATAGAAATCCATAAGAGCATTCCCAATGAAAATATCAGAGACCAACCTCTTCCTAATGGCATACCCATGGATCATTTTACCTGTCTTCACCGCCTGTCTTCTGGAACATGCTTTAAGAATCGTGGGCACGAGGTATTTATCAGGTAGTATGCCCTCCTCAACCATCGATCCGAATGCTGCAAAGAGCTCATTCCACTTCTCTGACCGACAATACGCCCTAATCAAAGCTGTATACGCAGGCAGCGGTCTCTCAGGCATTTCATCGAACACCTTACGGTCACTATCCACGTACGTCGCACACTTCGCACACTTCGCACAAAACTTTGCCAGATTGTTTCCAATCAAACTATCAACTCGCCGAGCATTTAATTTAACATCCTGGACATTACAATTAAACAAAGCGAAACTACGAGCGATTGGGACATTAGAACCTGCATCATTACTATCCGGACATTTAGCAACTGGAGCAAATCGACACTGGGGTCTATTATGGGCCGATATCGCAGTGGAATGCATCCTACAAGCTACATTCATGGAATTTCGAGAAAATCTGAAACTGGGATAGAGGTCAACGTTTAACTTGGAAGACGATGGAAGAAGAGCAGGAGAAGTGTTGTTTGACGAAAGAAACCCATCTACGAGAGTTGCCATAATCAGACGATGGAAAAAGCTTTGTTGCCTCAGAAATTAAAGACGTACCTATGCCTGTGAGAGATCAATGGAAAGCAACAGAGAAGGAGATGGAGAGAACAGGGAATCTCGAACCTGTACTGCTCGGAAAGCTTTGCCACGTTATCGTTCAAAAATGGGCTGGGCGAGTGTGTAAAAATTAGGGAACTTTGAATAATATTAATAAAGGACATATCAAGAAAAAATAGGATTTTTTTTTTTTTTTTGGGATAAAAACAACATTGAATCTAAACCTTTTGATGAATTTTATGAATTTTGGAAAGATGATTTGATAAGTAATTTGCCAAACTAAGTTGAGGTAAATTAAGAGGTAATAAGAAAAATCCTTGAATGTTATGTTTTTGCTACGTCGACGTGAAGCTGACATATCTGGAGTCACCGTCGATCAATATAAGGATCTCACCCCATCTACAAAACCAAAGTTATTCTCGAGAGTCAATTTAGTGTACGGAGGGTATTAGCACCATACAACACCTACTTAAAAAATGTTCTATCATATAACCTAAATCAATTAATAAGATCATTTATTTTTAGGAAAAATATCAACTTTTGTGAAAAGAACCCATGAATATATGGTCATGTTTGTCTTAGACGTGGCTTGAAAAACAATCTTGTCCTCCCCATGTATCCTTAAAAGATGGAAAAGGTAGACAAATAAAGACAGACAAAAAATATTGGAAAGACTAGATTTCGAAGGCGATGCACCCCTTGAACGATGAAGCCTTGAGCGGAAGGAGAGACTTGCACCCTCGACCTCAGCCTTGGCAAGACTATGCTATACCATGAAGCTATTTCCGCCATGTATCACGTCGAAACGGACGATTTATGCTTTTTTGCCGGACCACACTCGCCTCCGATCGAGCTACGAGCACGAGTAGGTAGGCAACTAGGGAGAGGGTGGCTGGGCTGCCTTTTCAATCAATCTCAAGCCGACCCCTAATTACTCGACCTAACCTGGGAAACACACAAACTAGAGCACTCCACTCCAATCCAAATGACGACAAAACCCACAATCACACTCAACGTACCGTATCAGCCCGACTTTTCGAATAAATACTATTCACAGTTTCTTTAAGAACGAACCCGATTAATAATGAAAAAAGAAAACTTCATGAAGATAAAATAGCCATAACTAGTCCAACAAATGCAACCCAAATTTACAAGAGTAAAGACTTTGAAATTGAGAAGAGAAGTGAATATATACAACTTGAAGAACTCGAGTAACCCGAATTTACAGTCACAATAAAACAAAGCATAAGCCATTGCTCATGTCAGAACTCGATGAAGCAATCACCATCACAGTCATCTGAAAAGCAATTTTAAAAATCATCAAGGCTATAGCAACCATAATTACTGTTCATTCCAACAAATCATCAAGGCTTGGTGGTCAAGATCTTGACATTGTTCCACCTTCATTTGATCAAACTATCAAACTATTAAACAATTCAAGCATTAAAAGGGCTTGTTTGGAACAACTTTTTAAGTATTTTTAAGCACTTGAGAAGTAATTCCAAATCGACTTTAATAGATGTAATTAGTCTTATTTTCTGTCAGAACGTCGTTCTGGCAGAAAACGTGCATTCCTAAGTGAACTTTCACTTTGAGCTATACACATCTCAAACAATTGGCCAATACTGCACTATTTCTTTTGGGTTTACATTCTGCATTTCAGTTAAGATGGCCTCCAAGCTCAAAACATACATCTGTCGACAGAAAACCTATCTATTACTGAGGCCAAAATTTAGTTGTTTCTGCACTATCCAACAAATATCCATGGGTGATCAGATAACATTTATCAGTAAAAACATCATCTTGGAAGAAGTGTCATCACCGGGAACAACATAGAAGTGAAAAATGAGGGATTTAACCGAAACAAACCCAAAAAAGAATGGTATAAGACTTTGATCTACTTTTTACTGAATACAAGCATCGGTTTTTTGCTTAGTGAAACTACATTTATTCCTATACAAAAAGGTATTGGCTAGACTGAGAGATGTTGAAATTTGGAAAAGAGGGCACTGCAAAAGAATAGTGATAGGGAAATGATTGTGAAAGCCACGGAGGAAACAGACGAGATGAGTTGCAAGATTGTAACGGCCCAAACCCACTGCTAGCAGAAATTGTCCTCTTTGGGTTTTTCCTTCCGGGCTTCCCCTCAAAGTTTTAAAATGCGTCTGCTAAGGAGAGGTTTCCACACCCTTATAAAGAATGCTTCGTTCTCCTCCCCAACCGATGTGAGATTTCACAAAGATGGTAGGCAAGATAAGTGCACGACCAAGATTGGCTGGTAGATAAGTTGTAATGTGCACATGGTAATGGTAGACTCCAAGATGGGGCATGTGGAAGGAAGTTGGTCCGTTCGTTTCACAACCAAATTGGTTGCAAGATGGATGACAAAAGATCGAGTTCAAAATTCTATCTTTAGTAAATAAAGTTGAGGATTTTATCTATATCACAGAAAATAGAATGGTGTTCTTGTAATCATATATGCTAAAGCCTATTCTGGATATCTAAATATTAAGAAACCCCAAACTCGTGCCACATTGGGAGCCCAAAAGCAGTATACTTGAAATTGTCTAACAAAAGAATACGGTCTACATGCTCATATTTGCGCTCTAAACGCAGACACATGGGCAGGCAAGGCAAAATAAAACATGCAGAGATAATATTCTCGAAGAAAATGATAATGTTATCATGATCTTCCCTTCTATACTCGGTATTGCATGAAGCAGGATACACAAACATCTATATTATACCGATCACCTCAAGCACATAAATACACGACAAGAAGAATCTTCCAGCAGATGAAAGAAACCAAGATAGCGACTCTTCATGAGTGGCGTTGATTTTTGTACTTTTTTCCCCTTCCATGTAATTAAGTTACAAGGTGATCGAGTTTCTGATATGAGATTTCACATGGAAGAAAAGTATAATAACAGAAGACGAACACAAATTTCACATTCGACGGTTAAACCTTAGTAAACAATTCCAGATGAGCTTAGCAAACAAATTGCAGGTATAAAACAACGACAACAAAAAGAACTCACCAGCCAGAAGCTGAAGTTTGGGAATCCAAATTATTATAAAATTTCGATAGTCGGCGGGTTGGAGGCTTCGGTTTGACGGATTTCTTACGCAAGCCAAAAATTTCTTGCACCAGAGGGACGTGAACAAGAACGAGCTTCCACGCCAAAAACCAACCTACGCAATCACTCCAATTAACAGTGCAGCGCAGGATTAAATAAATACTACAGAAATAGAGATCGGACTTCCGATTACAAAACCTAAGCAGAAATAGACATCAGAAATACAGGAATTGCACGAAATAATCAAGAGAAAGGAGAATAAATTACCAAGAGAAATCAAGGAGAACGTGAACACGACGGCAAGGATCGGGCGTAGTATGAATATATTGAGATAATCCCATTGAGAAAAAGAATTCTCGAAAGATGAAAACGAGGAAGACGACGACTCCATTAGAAGAGCTCAATTGCACGAGGAGTGAGTCACGCAATCAATCCCCGTCGAGGGCTCTACCAGTTCTCTTCGTGGGCTCGGGTTTCAGCTTCTGTAGTTTTATATTGGGCCTAAGCCCAATATTCGTGTTGGGCTTTATCACTAACTTTCTTGGGCTTATATTTGGGCTAGAGTTTCTGGTTTTCATATTGGGCCTGAGTCCAACTCTGAGGTTCAAGCAAGCTTTCCAGATTTCGCGGTGCTTTCTCCATTCCCGCCCCTATTCCGTTTTCGTCCTCTGATTTTGGCGGCGTTTCTTGTGCCGTGCTCCCATGGAACTAGAAGGTTCTCCTGGAAACTCTGCTGAAAATCCTTGAATTATTTACAAATTTCTGGTAATTTCCATATCCTCTCTGAATCTGCAAGTTTCGTTAGCGAGTATGTTGTTCTTTTGCTGCGGGAATTGGAAGCTAGTGAACTATGGATTGTAGATTTTCGGTATTTTTCAATGCCTCTTTGAATTCTGATTGCTGAAGTATCGAGTAGTCTTAATGTTAGACCTATGAGTATGCTGTTAAGCTGAATTTTACGGAGCATAAGGATAGGTAAAGTAGCCGCGAAATGGCGAAGTAAAGGAAATGGAGGCATTATGGTTACGTTATGTCTTATGCGTTTAATGATGCAAGTGATTGTAGTACATTTGACGATAGAACTTCAAGTTTTAGCTGTATAAAATATTTCCTGGGATTCTTTATCAATTTTTGGTTTGTTTGGCCTTTGTTTTGGATGTCTGTGATCTTACACTTCTTACTACTTAAGAAACATAGCTCCATGGTTGAAATTCTTTCATTCTTTGTTCGTGATTTTGAGGCTTTAGTGTCTGTTGATCAGTCCTACGTACTGTGTTTGTCTTGGTAGTTGGTTGCAGTATGCATGACACTGTTTCCTTTGACGCTCTGATCTTGAAAAGATCTTCAAATTTAGCGTTGATCTTAGTCTCGGTTTCAATCTTCTTAGCATTGATCTTCAACAAATTACCATATTAATGTAACCAAGAAGTTCTTTCAATCAACAAAATAGAGTTAAATTTAGAATCTAGTCCCCGTAGTTAGCTATTTTTAATGTTTTGATACCCATATTTTAATATGTTCCATTATATTCCTTTTTAAAAACAAATCATTTTATTCATTTACATTAATTAGCCAGTAAAATAGTCATTAAAAAAAAAAAAAAAAGTTAGCATGGTTCCATGTGGCGTGGACTGCATTAGTTTCTCTGTATATAGTCAGAGCTGTAAATAATTTCAAGGTACCACACCAACCTTCACATGTTCATGTCAATTTTTCTTCATATTTTACTGGATATCCACCATCGGAACCACAATGTTATTGTTATGCTTGTAGAAGTATAACCATTAAATTGAATGAACCAAAGTTGAAAAAATTTAAAGAAAAAAGAATGAAGTACTAAACGATAACTATAATTATGATTTAGTGAATTGAAAGTCTAAAGAAAGAGTCCGAATCTAAGTAAAGTTATGACAAGAGTATGAATATAGACTTTCAGTTTATTGCTATTTTGAAGTATAATTTTTTTCTCATTGCTTAAAACAGGAATTTTTCTCAAAATTTTAAGTGATTCAAAAAGCCACATTTTAAGTTATGGGATTCTACGTAGGCCTTTCCTTTTCCCCACTAATGGACTGTGGTATAAGCATTCCATGATGAACACCATAATAGTGCCGTCACGAAATAAAACTTTCAACTATAAGGGTAATTATGTAACCAATGTAAAAGCTTGAAGAAGAATAAAAATTGTTAAAGCAAGGGACTAAAACTTGAAAATTTTATAATTTAGGGGCTAATATTGTAGTTTGACCCAAATTTTGTATGCAAATCACACGTCCTAGTGGAATTATGTACCGTCTCCTTTAAATTTTCTTTGTAACAAACAGTTAGGATTGAAAAGATTACTTCAATGTGCATACTGATCGGATCTGTATTATATGTGCATACTGATCGGACAGCATGATCAAAGCCATCATAGTTTTACTATTGCTCCTTCTACTTTGTCATCAACTGGGGTTACATTTGCTTTTGGATGATTAAATTGCACTAAAGCAATTAACTGTTATGATAAGGTGTGTATTTAAACAATTATATCACTTCTGGAAACTTTTAATCATGATATAAGACATTATGAGGTTGTGTATTGTTTTTGTGGGTTGACTGAATACAATACATCTTTTTTTTCTATCCTTTGCTATGTGATAACGGTGGGAGACTGGAAAAATATTAATGTATTGGATCTACTCACATTTACACGCATTCTCTGCAGGTCTTTAAATAGACTGATTATGCAGAGATAACCAGAGTTAACTTCCTAATAAGTTGCTATTGTTTTAGTAGAATAACAGAAAAACCTAAACCCTTTACACTAAGCATGCAAAATGAAGAATTCAACTTGTATATGTAAATTGAATTTAGAGTAAGAATCGGACAAGTAGAATATTCTTGATGTTTCAAATTAACCCATCTTCCATTGCTTATATAGCAACCTTGCTCATGACTCTATACTGAAAGAAGTTGTAGTCAAGGGTATTGTTTTTTTTATTTATTCCAAAAGTTCGTCATTTGTTGGTATTAACTATATTGATTTATACGTGTATTGTAGCTGTTTCTTTTCTTAGGATAACCCACTGTCCATAGCCCATTGAGGTTTCATGTTTTTCAGATAGGCATTTCTGCCATATGACATCGAGGTGTTTTTGATGAAATTTACAGACTTGCAACTTGAAGATTTGGCGGGAAATCTTAACAAAATCTATGGTATTGCTGGTGGTATAAAGTTGATGTTGAGTATGGTTACTGAAATAACAATTACATAGTCAAGGGATGGTATGCGAGGATTTAACACCCAATTTTCTAGAGATCCAGATGCACAACTGCATGGCTTCGCATTGCTCAACATGGTAACAAGATTATAACATGGATCTTTCATTTGCTTGCTCTTGAAGTTCTCCGTTCTCACATTTTTCAATTGTGTGCTGTAAATTAAACATAATACAAAGTCATTCACAGTGTTTTTCTGATTCTCATGAAAGGAATTCAATTAATTTATTCCCCAAGAAGGAATTTAGAAGAGGAAAAAAAAAAGAATATCTATTTATGTGGCCTTTTACAATTCGTTTGCTGGCCTGTGTCTTCTTTACAGCTTATCTCGTAATTATGAAGTTACAGTGAAAACGATAGAGTGTTTCCAAACTAGTCATGTTTATAAGCATAGGGATGTCTCATCTGGGGTTGCATGCTCTGAAAACCGACACTAAAATTCTTAATTATTAATGTCTGAGGAGGAATATCTTTCTCTTCTTTTTTCGTTCTCGGGGAAGTAAATGAAAATCATTATTTCTGATGATTATTGAAAAGCAAAGTGTGCTTTGCTTAAAGGGCTAGAGAGCTGTCTGCGATCAGGCGTTGGCCAGAACCTGTTTTCTGGACGGCTGGCCTCTATTACAATACAATACAGTACAGTACAGCGAAGCCTGGTTAGTTTATTTCCTTCCTCCTCCACCCTTTGTTTATTTATTTGTCTGCTTTTAATCTGCGTGTTGCAATTTGCTTACTCTTTTTGGAACCCTTTAAATCAGGCTATGCATGAAATGCCTGCAAGGGACAAAAAGCATGAGAAACAGTTACAACTTTCAAAGTGAGCAATTCACAGCTTTCTTTTTCCAGTGTTTATGTTATATTGTTTATATTTGTGTTTCCCTCAAAACCCGTCGAGAAAATTCAGCAAAAGAATAAACCAAAATTAGTAGAGAGAAAGGGAGTCAGGAGATGTCAGAAGAAGGATGTGAAAGAGGAACTTTCATCATCAGACTCCATAGCTTTCAAAGAGAACCGAATCAGACAAAAGCTTGGGGTTAAGAAAAGGATGTTGCTTTCCGGGAAAAAAATAAAATATTGAAAAAAAAAATGAAAAAAAAAGGAAACCAGGAATCTCACTGTACACATTGCCTTTTACAGCCCTCTAAGCCCCCACTTTTCATCATTCTTTCACCGCTAGAATGATTAGTCATATTTACTATCTCAACTAAAAGTATCAAAAGACGCCTCCCTCTCAGCCTGAACTGAACTGGAGAGAGGGACATCAGTTCTACTAGAAAACTAAACGCCCAAAAAGAAAGTGAAATTTTTTGGATTTTTCCCCCTCTTCCTCTTGTTTTGGAATATTGACCCATGTCTCTGTCTTTGAAAATTACAAAGAAGCTTCTTCGTTTTTATTCAATTCCTTTTGTTCACTCAACTTTCCTTTTCTTCTTTTCTGCACAAATATGCTTGTATGTATACATAAACTCTGCATTTTCATGGTCAGGCTTATTGGGCTTGGGTGTTACATTATATGTTGAGATGAAGCAATATTTTCTGTCATCTTTTTGACTTGTCAGCTAGTCAAAAATTTCAATTCAAATAAACAATCAAAGATATTGCTTATACTGTTGTAGCAAAGTTGTTTTTACTGTTTACCTGTTCATTTTATATTCTCATCTACTTGACATTACGCTTGATTAGATATTTCTGCTATAAAAAAATTAGTAAAGATTTGATAATACTTTTTAGTATTAATTAATTTATGGGTTTCTCATTTCTTTTTTGACCCTATATTCATCGGTTGATTGTTTTTACTTTTTAGAGGATTGAAGAAAAGTCTGGAAAACGGAAGCAGAGGAGGGTTAAGAGGTACAACTCTATCCATTGATTCTTCTGCTTGTTGTTTTTTTTTTTTTTCGTTTTGGGCTTTGAACCATAACAACTACAATATTTTTCAACATCTGTCTACCTGTGGCTACAAAAGTCCAAAAGCTTCTTCCTGCCTTCAACGATTTCATCAATGAAATCATCAAGTTGGCAAACAATATTTTCAGCTCCGGATCTCAGGACCCCAAAACAATCTCTCAAATTCTCAAACGTTTCTCTAATTCCAATCTCTGTTTCCCATTCCACCACTCCCTGGGACCCTATCCCCACCCTCCTCTCCAATTCCGCCCTCAATTCCTCCATCGCCATCTTCGATCTCCTGAACTCATACAGCAA